TGCTGCGAGTTCGAAGTAGCGTATATTTGCACCGAGCACCATACAGGAGGCGTGCCAAAGGACGGCAGAGTTCAGATCCGCAGTGCGAAGTGCGTCTATTGAAGAGCCGGAGAGGTTCACCAGCAAGGGAAGAATGTCTCGACTCCGGGCATCCTCGGCGTATATCCGCCAGGGCTCAAGCTGCTTCTGATTTCCTGTCGCGGGAGCAAGTCTGTCATTGCTCTCGTAGATGCGTAGTAAGAGGAGAGTTAGTAATGATCGGAAGCTTGATGCGTCGAGCTTGAGGCCTGGGGTCGGATGGAACGATGGTGTTATCCTCTGTGAGTGTATCCTCGCACCGCGCTGCACGAGATGGAACCACTTCGCCGCACTGTTGACGTGGTAGAGCGAATAATCCGAGGGCGGCAGAATCTGGACTGTTTCGGGGCGGATCATTGGAGCTGTGGAGAGGTAGCCTGCCCACCAGCAGTCTGCTTCGATAAGACCAAAGATGATGCGTTTACTGCATTCGACCTTTGACCAAGCCTTCCACTTTGAGTCAATGTCGATCATCTCATCCAAGAGAGGATCTATCTTCACGCCCTCGTTGGCGGAGAAGAGACCTTGGCTTTGCGCGAACTACGAAAGTCAGTCTGATGTACGAAAGCGTAGTACAAGCGGCTACATACCCCGATAAGCTCTGCATACATCTTCTCGGCTTGCGCAATACGGCTTTTCCGCTGCGTGAACGTTAGCTCATGACTTGCATGATCAATGATTACTACCTACTCCGGTGATAGACGCTAGATTCAAGGCTAGCAAGCTAGTGGCAATGATCCGCATCTGCCGATGTGGCGGATGATCTGTTGTTGGAAGGGTCTGTAGCTCGGCCAACGCGAGTTGTAACACAGCCTTATTAAGGGTCAGTATATGTGAGATATACAGCTATCGCGTTGCTTACCGGGAATGTGCGAGTGACAAACTTGGCTGCACCTGCGGTACCAAGAATGCTCAGGCCGATGAGACACATGCAAAGTAGTAATGGCCGTGGCGCATTCTTTGCAGAGAACGTCGGAATGTGGATAATCGGAAGGGTCGGGTGGAAGTAGTAGAGATACATCTCTAGAGCGATGTCCAAGATCTCGGCAGGGGGAAACTGTACACCTTCGATGCTCGGACTTCCTGCGGCATCCCCGCTCGAAGATGCAGTATCGCCATATGATTCAGATCTTGGTGGATTAGATGCCGGTAAGTTGTGCAAGGCGCTTTGAAGTCTGCCTCTGCACTCCTCGTCCAATCCCCATCGCGAGTTACGCCGCTCTCTTTCACTCATAGGCGTCTCCATTGCTCCAGAGCCGACCTCCGACAGTATGTTGGTACATTCACATGCTACAAGGTTTTGCCACAGATCGGGCATAAGCCGGGAGGACTTGCGATTTCGGGAGGGCCAACAACTTTGGACTCGCTGGAATCGTTCTCGCGGCACTCTGCTTGCTATTGAAACACTGCTGCCCGATGGACTGGCCTGGTTTTCTGGGAGTGCTTGGAATGCTCCGTGCTCGAAAAAGCCTTCCACGCCGAGGTGATGCGATCCTTGGGGAGTGTTCATATCGCCCTCGAGCGGAAACAGCCACGTTTGTAACGCATCAGCGGGAGTGCGATTGGGGACTGGGTTGTTGCTTTGAACGAGTTCGAAAGCCCACTGGTCCAAACTTGAGACATGGCCGGCTGGCGAGAACGAGAGCGCTTCCATAGCTGGGTCGATAGGTGGACCCATACTCTCATGGGGATTTCGATTTGACACCTGGACATTTTCGGCACGCGCGATAATCATAGGCGATGGTGACCGCCATGGTGTGTCTGCTCCAGGCTCGAGATGTTGGGCCGCGTTGATCAGCGCTTCGATCCGGTCCTCACCGGGTGAGGGCGGTTGTAACCGCGATGAAGAATGACGGCCATCCGTGGGGGGTGATAGATGCGCATTGTAGTGGTTATTCACATTTATCTGCGGTATTTGCGATTCTCTCCTCCTGGACATGGGCGAGAAGTTGGAGTCTTCGCGGATCAATGGTGTTGCTGCTGGAGTCGGGCCGTTTACGTTCCGTGAGGCAGATGGTCGTGATGTTTGATTCTCGTCCATGGAGTTGTGTCGGAACTCTTGCTGGTCGTTGGTGTTTTGTTGTTCATTACTCTTCATCCGGTTCATCGCATTCTGCGCATGGCCTTTGCAGTGCCGAAACAGGACATCGCTATATGAAGAGGTTGGACGCTAGTACGGAGGTTTTTCATTGGGGGCCTCACCTGCGCGAGAAGTGCTTTTTGCATGTCGGGCACTCATAGGGGCGCTCTCGTGTGTCTGAGATGGTGTTTAGCTCACTGCTGATGATGGAGGTCTGAGATGGACGAACGGGACCGCTCGTGCCGCTTCACGTGCTCTACTGGAATCGGGGTCAGTACACTTTCTACACGCGTTCGGCAGCCACGTACACTTGGTGAATGTGCGATCGCACATGCTGCACTGCTTTAACGCCATGTCGCTCGTCGCAAAGATTTGATGTGTTGGCTGAGGATCGGAGGACCCTTCGCAGGCCGGAGTCTGCAGGTGCTGTCGGTCGCCAAGCGATCGCGGCTGCGGGGGAAAGCAAGACCATGACTCGGCCTAAGCATTATAGGCTCATCTCAACTCATCTACAAAATGCATATAAACCTGCAATCCTGCTGCTGCAGATTGCGCCGCGCGCACATCTGCGCATCCGAAGACTACAGCTGATCCTTACGTTGGTGGTCCATAGTCGCCGCTTGGAGATACCTCCGGCGCTCGGGACCCTCATCTGATCGCCAAACACCGTACCAGCTCCTAGCACCACCGATCGCTCCGTGCCTTATCACGGCCGTTGGATGACGAGGTAAATGATCCTTTGAATCGCCCTCAAATTACCAGACTTCTCGAAGGATTTCGTCCTACACCAACCCCGGATCGACTCGCATGTGGGACTATGAGGCGTACGCTAGTGGGGCCTCCCCTGACTGCTGACCGTTGTTGGAATCATCCACTGTCTCATTCGCCTCATTAAGGTGGCTAGCTCTGCTTGATCTGGTGCGTAGAATCAATCAATTGCTACTTTGGATATCGGCTAGCTGCGTTTCGTTGCGTCAATCTTCCGCTAGAGGGTCGCACATCAGACAATGGCGTCTCAGATAAGTAATCAGCTAATCGACACTGAATCGCTACAAGCACAGCGGCAGGTGCTAGCAAGTTTGTGACATGTCTTTGCCTAGCTCGACGAGATTGTGAAGCTGTATAGTATTGAATGTTTGGTCAATACGCAGGGGCATGCAGTTGGCCATGGTCTGATACTCTCTGCCTTCGGCGGTGTATTGGAACCTCCGATATCAATGTCAAAAATAGGCAAGCGAAGCACATCATCTTGAACCGAACGGAAAGTCGGAGATCATTGGCACCGATACTTCCATTTTCAGAACACGAGGATGTCTATGCCACCTTGGCGAACATGTCCAACACTGCGGAATACACCACCAACAATACGCCACCACCAGGTCCAAACCTTAAGATCTTCGCCACATAGCCCTTGTACAACGCTCTGAACCCTTCTTCCCTCGCAACAACCCCCAAGCTTGGCCACGCCCAAGCGTACTTTTGTCTTACACAAGGCGTCTTGGCAACGCTCTGTATACGACTCTTGACAACATCCAGTGGTGTGTTGAACGTCGTCCCTACAACACCGCCTACGAACCCTGCTATGAGGTCGTTCCCCATCTTCTGCCTTCTTGGATTGCTCGAGGTTGCCGGGGAAGGCAGCTGAGCCCGTACCTGGAAGATGCAGCCAAAGTACCCAGCATTCCATACAATATGTCGCCACAGAGTAGCTTCGAAGCCGTTGTATAATGCCAATGGACCTTCTTGACGGACGACCTTAACAAGACAGTCGAGCAGCCCATTGTACCGTGACGCGGAGGTCTTGTCCTGAAGTCGGATCTTGAGGAGCTCGAAGGGAACGACAACAAGAGACTCGGTTGCGCCAGCGCTGGCACCGGTGAGGATGGCGAGAGGTTGGGTCAGGGTTGGGGCTGAGAAGAGGCGTTGATAGAACTGCGTGAAGGAGTCGTTTGCGGAGAACTTGATAGCACTGTTTTCAATCAGTCGCAATTGAGGAAGGTGTCAACTCAGGTCATACCGCTTGGGCACTTCCATCAGTATAGGCGCAGTGATGCCACGATATAGTCTTGATACACCTTCATTGCGAATGATCTTTCGGAAGCAGTCCAGAACACCATTGTACCCTTCACCGTCGACAACTTTGCCATGCTGAAGTTGAATTCGTGTTTTGACTACATCAAGCGGGTACCTATCTACATTCTTAGCACTCTCTTCCGACCTCCGATACCAAGACAATCTCACATTACCAAGATCTCCGATATCCCAGCTACAGCCCCGGCAGCAAATTGGTAGCGGAAAGGCAGTGGTGCTGCATCGTTGCCATTCCCAACGGTAACCTTCTTAGCCGCCATGTTGAAAACACGTACTCTCTACTTTCACGCGTTCAGTACGCGGTTACCAACCATACAGCCCTTCCACCACACTACCAGTACGCCTCCCACCCCCACTACCTCCATCATTCCACACGAACGGCTCTTGCAATATCCAGGCCACATGGCACATGCAGGGCACAATACACCCGCGATATGGCCAAGAGCGTGTCGCGTGAAGGACGTTGTGGGGTGCATGGCGATGGCGCATGTGGGGCCAGGCGTTCCGGTGAGATGTGGGGCCTACGCGAAACGTCACTTTGCTGACAATCGACACGCGGCTTAGGAAATTTCGGTGGCTGACTCTCGGACAGTTGCGTCCCAATGCGTCGGAAGAATCGGACCTCGGAGATGAAGAGTCTGAATCATGTGAGGACGTGTGTGCTCGCGCTTGGTACTCTAGTTGTTTGTTTTCGGACGCGTCTTCGCGATGGGAATTTGGAATACTGGGTACGCGACTACTGCGCCACTGTCTATGCGACTATCTTCTTTTCTCTCAGCTCTCTGATTCCGGCCTCGTCGTACCCCAGTACGTCCCTCAATATCTCATCCGTATGCTGACCCAACAACGGCGGCGGACTCCTGATCCGCGGCTCTGCTCTCGAATATTTGACCGGATGATTGACAAGCTTCACCTTGCCTACTGCAGGGTGCTCAACCTCTTCGATCATATTACGCGCAAGAACGTGCTCGTGCTCGACCGTGCCCTTGATGTCGTTGACAGCCGCGTATGGCATGCCGCTACCCTCGAAGATTTCCAACCATTCCTGCGTTGTCTTGGTCATGAGCTCGGCCTCTACGAGCGTGTCGATCTCGGTACGATGCTTGACGCGTAGTGCGTTCGTGAGGAAGCGGGGATCGGTCTTCCATTCTGGACGCTGTAGCTTGTCGCAGAGGATGCCGTATAGGCGGTCGTTGCACCCGCCGACTGCGATGTTGGTGTCTTTTGTCTTGTAGGCTCGGTAGGGTACTACTGTTGCTGTGGTGGAGTCAACATCGCCATTCTGGCACAGAACTCATGTATGCGCTTACCATGTGCAGTCCCCCATCGTCCGCTGTCGCCCTTACCTGTCACCAGCGCGCTGCTGGCGATGTTTGCCAAACCCGATACCTGCACGTCGCTTAAACTCGCGTCGATCCACTGACCTAAGCCGGTCTCTTTCCGCGAATACAACGCTGCTTGTATGCCGATCGCAGTGTACATCCCGGTCATGATATCCGTCACCGCTACGCCGACCTTGACTGGGGGCCCGTCGCGCTCGCCGGTGATATGCATCAAGCCCATCTCAGCCTCAACCATCACGTCGTAGCCCGCGCGGTCGCGGTATGGCCCAGTTTGCCCATAGCCAGTGACAGACGCGTATATCAGGGAGGGATTGAGCTTCGCAAGCGTCGCGTAGTCGAGTTGGTACTTGGCGAGTGATCCGGGGAGATAGTTTTCGACGAGGACATCGCACTCTTGGGCTAGTCTATGGAGGATGGAGATACCGGTGGGGCTGTTGAAAGCTAGCCCGACCGACTTCTTGTTGCGATTCACCTGCATAATGTTAGCAGTATGAACAGCATAGCCGTGCGGCAACCTACAGAAAGATAGTATGCACTTTCGCCAGGGAATTGACGCTCGATGCCATCGATATAGGGCGCATCTGGTGGACCCCAGGACCTCGTGTCGTCGCCTCTTGTAGGGTGCTCGATTTTGATAACGTCCGCTCTGAATGCTCGTCAGCATATGTAATGTTCAAGTTTCCATTCATTGCTTACCCCAAATCTCCAAGAATCTGTGTACAGTATGGCTACTCGATGTTAGCGACCATGATCCTCCGTCGGGGAAACATTTACATACTCCTGCAAGCACCCGCGTCATATCCAGTACTTTGATGCCGGCCAAAGGAAGTTTCTCAACCATCTGCTTGTTTACATCACTCTTCGTCGCAATGTTCCTCCTCCATATTTGCCACGTTCGACTCGAGATCCGATTAGCCGCATGTCGAAAGTGCGCGCGTTGAGCCGCTTTCGCGACAGCTCCAAAAGAATACGACATGGTCTTACTCCAGACCTGCCATGCCAACACACAGTCATGTTAAAGAACACGAGCATGACTTCTTGAGATTCCTGCCCCACATGACGCTTGTGGGGTCGGCAAAGGGCATGGAGTGTGAATGCACAGACGTTTCTAGTTCGCTATGTCAAAGCTTGCGATGCTCATTGTATGGAATTGGAATTATCGTGTACATGTAGTATCGGAGAATGCAAAATTACATCGCTAAAACGCCTACAAACTCTCAAGACCGTGAAAATAGAGACCCAATCATGCGTGGACGCCGTTCGTCCCGTTGGTCTTTGACTCGGGGCTCAAATATTGCTTGAGCTCCTCCGCGTGGACACCGTCTGTATCGCTGGTGTTTGCGCCGTGTGAAAAGCCACCAAAGTAGTATGGTGCAAGTCTTTTCTTCTCAGCGATCTTGTCGTCTTTGATCCGGGCAAGCAACTCCTGGGCTCTTTTGTTGGCGGAGAAGCGGTCCGGAAGAGCATCCCAGACCTTGTAATCCGTACCGTGGGTCTCGATTGTTCCGCAGCCTTTACGGGCGTACTCGGTAAAGAGGAACAGACGGCTCGATTCGACCATGATGGTCAGTTGGTCTGGTTACCGGTCAGTATGCATACAACCACTCGGCGATGGGATGAACTTACCAGTCAATATCTTCTCGGGTTGATTCTCATGTATCCGCATGCCGTGCTGGTATCCCTCATGAAATCCTCCGTGAGGCGTGTGGCCACCCTCGAAACTACCACCGCCGGGCTGGAAGTCGTCGCTTCGTCCAAGACCTTGTCCGTATAAACAGGCAAGGAACTCTGACGCGGAATTGCGGTGGAAGTATGGTAACCGGAATGTGTTGGTCGCAACGTCCCATCTTGGGCCGAACCAGAGAAAGTCCGCGAGCGGTGTCATGGGATCACGGGACTTGGCTGTGAGCACTGTGAAGATCGAAGGATCAGTGTGGTCGATGGAGGTACTGTTCTGCGACGAGAACTTTGTCAGATCGTATTTGTAAGGTACGACATTGCCGTGCCAAGCGACAAGGTCGAAAGGGCTGTGGTCTTGTTGGATCGCCACGAGCTGACCGTTCGTCTTGTTGACAATCTGCCAATCGACGTGCAAATCATCGTCGATAGCAGCTACCGGGTAGAGGAAATCGCGAGGATTGGCAAGACCGTGGCCGCCTAGTGGGCCGAGATCAGGAAGCTCCCACATAGAGCCCCATACTTCTGTGATGTAGCCACGTGCCACTGGCGTGCCCGGGGCTAGATTGAGGCAGAAGCGGATGCCGCGCTGGATGACACAGATCTCACCGGGCTGTAGGAAAATCTTGCCCATCTCTGTCTTGATATCTAGATTACCCTGTTGGGCACAGATGAGGAAGTCACCGTCGGTATTGCAGAACGCTCGCTGCTCCATACTAGAATTGATCATGTACACGTATAGCGCAAGACCCTCCTTGATGTTTGGGTCCCCGCTACCGCAGAGAGTATGCAAACCATCCGCGAAGTCAATCTTCTCATCGTCTTTCGGCAGTGGGAACGGACGCCATTCTGCTTGTTCGGGGAGCGTCTCAACCTTGGGATTGATGGACAAGAAGCAGTTTGTGATGTTGGACTTCGTCTGGATCGGAATGTAACCCTCTGTCACATGTTAGCCAATGTTTGCGAGAAAGTGCCGCAGTACATACTGTGAGCAGCCGCTGGTCGACACCGGTACATATAGGTACTGAAGTTGTGTGCACGAGGAGCTGCGAACGCTGAATATGTAATGCCTTCGGTGTAAAGTCCAAACCGGACTTCTTGAGGGTTGTTCTGAGCGACGGGCAGAGTGCCAGGAATGACCTCAGACTGGTGTCGATTTCCCCATCCTGCTTGGTAGTCGTAAGGATCGTTTGCACGCGTTGGCTTCAGTCTTTGGAGATCGGTGAAGTGAAACGCCTTCTGGGGGTCGGTGACGAGCTGGCGTTCTTTGAAGTCTTGCATGGTGTTTAGCGTATGACGATGATTGTAGGAGTGATCTAGCTTACCATGTAAAGATTTCAGCCTTATATTGGAGTATCCATGGCCGTGGAATGCTAGGCCGACATCTGCCGCACTTGGGTGGTCCGGCCTGCGCATCGTATGTGGTGGCGGGGCCCGACCCTGATAATAGCGGGGTTTCCGTTTCGGTAACTGGGCTACGGGAGCTGTGAGAGGCCCACATAGTGGCCGTGACCGGGTTAGTGGAACTCGTCAGATGAAAGTATGATGGCCTTTCCCACATGGAGGTCATGGTAATGTGGACGTGGCGCACTTGCGGGGTTCTTGATTACTTCTGAGAAGAGCACCAATCGAGAGTATAGTGCTGACTCAGATGAACCAGTCGGAATGTGATTCTCTCTCATATCTACGCATGGCGGTTGTTATGCCCTGATGAATGACATGGATGTGATCTATTTGGATGCAGCTAAGACCTCGTCCACCATGAGTCCACATGAGCCTAGATAGTTCTTTGCGTCGCACAATGAGCTCAGCTCTTCACCGGAGATCTTATCGGTAATCTCGGGTCGTGTCTGTAGAGCTTCCAACAAGCTGGTGTCTTTCTCAATGCTTTCTTTGCATGCCTCGTAGACAACATCGTGCGCTTTTGACCGACCGACGTGTGGAGCAAGACCCATCATGACAGCTTCTGCGACAATAAGACCTCTAGTGGAGTAGAGGTTCGTGAGCATCTGCTCCGAATTGACTACAAGACCAGAGAGCGCAAAGTCAGCTTGGTATAGCGCTCCAACAGCCATAACGAAGCTCTCCGGGACGGCCACCCATTCGAGATGCCATGGACCGGAAGCACGCTCGAAGTCCGATACCATGCCATCCAGCACCAAGCCAGCATTCGATCGCAGGACTTTCGATGCGGCTAAGATGACCTCGCTCGAGATGGGATTTCGCTTCTGAGGCATAGTTGAGGAAGCACCGCGGTGTGGTACAAAGGGCTCTGACACTTCCGAGAGCTCATTGGAGGACATGATGATAATGTCTAGGGCAAGCTTGCCGAGGGTACCACCAACAAGCGCGAGATAGTTGGTGATCTCTGCAACACCATCTCGGGCGACGTGCCAGGTGATCGGAGGATCCGTCAGACCCAGATCTCTTGCCATTTCCTTTCGAACACGAATGCCATCATCGCCCGAACCTAGTGAAGCCAAAGAACCTGCGGCTCCTCCGAACTGTACCATCAAGGCGCGAGGTTTGAGCTGCTCAAGACGCTCGAGATGCCGTTGGAACCCAGATAGCCAAATAGCGCACTTGTGGCCAAAAGTGATAGGAAGAGCATGTTGAAGATGGGTGCGACCAGCCATGGGCGTATCCCGGTGCTTCCTTGACAGGTCTTCGAGGTTTTTGATGACGGAGCGGAGTGTGCGCTCAACGATCTCGAGGCCCTCCTTCATCTGCAGAATGCTTGCCAGATCCATAATGTCCTGCGTTGTTGCTCCCCAATGCACGTATCGCCCAGCCTCCTCACCGCATGATGCAGAGAGCTGTCGCACCAAAGGAAAGATGGGGTAGCCGACGATCTCAGTTTCGTTGCGTAGCCTATCGTAATCCAATTCGACTTCGCGAGCTTTGGATGTCACAATCTCTCCGATGTGAGATGGTATGACATTGCATTTTGATTGCGCTCTTGCCAAAGCAGTCTCAGCATCAACGCATCGATTGATATACGCTTTGTCGTCGAAGACCTTCCTGATCTCATCGGTTCCAAATAGCGTACGGAAGATTACTGAGTCGATAGCGCTCACGCTGCCGAGAGATCGCCGTTGGAGACGAAGGGTGGTTTGCCGGGGGATGGCACGCAGTGGGACGCGTCGAAACAGGAACATGATGTGTGTTGCAGTTGTGCAGCACCTCAATGAGTCAATGAGTGACGAAGGGGAGGTGAAGCTCCAAAAGGAGCTCCAGCACTATACAAGACATAGCGGCCTTGAAACGGTGGACGTGTGGGACGCGGGTGCAGCCAGCATCCATGGATCGTGTGGGGAAGACAATGCCGGCCTACAAGCTCGGAAGCGCCCAGCCTCTGCGTTCCGCGCTAGCAATCCGAAATGGCTAGAGCCATCCGACACGTGACCCGCGCGACACTTTCGTGATTCTCATCATCAAAGCCTCTAACATTTCTACGGAACTACGACTCTCGGACGAACAACGAAGCAACGCCTAAGCCGGTACTCGCGCACATGCTGACGATACCCATCTCTTTGTCCTGACGCAGCAGCTCGCCGAACAATGTGGCAGTCTGCCGTGCCCCGGTCGCGCCGGTGGGATGCCCAAGAGCTATCGCACCTCCGTTCGGATTGACCTTGTCTTCATCAAGACCCAGCTCCCGAATGCACGCGATGGTCTGGCTTGCGAACGCCTCGTTGAGCTCAATGATGTCAACGTCTTTGAGCCCAACGCCTGTCCACTTCAGCAATGCTGGTATGGCGTATATCGGGCTAATGCCCATCTCGTCGGGGGCGCAACCCTTGACCTGAGTGCCAACGAAGCGGCCAAGTGGCTTCAATCCACGCTCTTCAGCCCACGAACGTCGGGCAAGTATGGTAGAGGATGCGCCGTCCGATATTTGAGATCTGAAAGTCAGCTTTGCGAGGGCTTTGAGTCATGTCCACTTACGAGTTGCCTGCGGTACTCTTGCCGTTCTCGCCGAACACAGGCTTCAGCGTCGACACTTTCTCAAAGGTCAACCCATGCCGAATGCCGTCGTCCTTGGTGACCTCGTGCCCTGCAGGCTGGCCTGTTGTCTCGTCCATCCTCTGAACCGTCACAGGCTCGATCTCCCAATCAAAGCGACCTTCCTTTTGGGCGCGACTTGCGCGCCCATGACTTCGCACCGCATATTCATCTTGCGACTTCCTGTCAACCTTGTATCTTTCCGCTACGTTCTCAGACGTGATCCCCATAGGCATAAGACAGTCGCGCGCATCTTTGACGGTCGACCCAAGCAGCGTGGGTGAGACATCGGCTGGGATGCCCCGCGAGCTGTAGTTTCTCGACATGCTCTCTACACCGCCAGCCAGCCCCACGTCAATCTGACCCACCATGATCGAGTGTGAGATGTGGGTGATGGCTTGTAGACTGCTCGAGCATTGCCGGTTGACTGTATGGAAGGTCGTCGAGTTTGGAAAGCCGGCATGATTGAGCGCCATGCGTCCTGTCTTCGCGAAGCCCAGTTCGGCGAGTACATTCCCAATCATAACATCGTTCACGTCGACTTTTTCGATGCCAGCTCGCTGTACTGCCGCTTTCATAATCTGTTGTATTCAGCAACGGTGCAGCGCGTTCTCCTGCCGAGACTCACCGGCATCAGGATGTCTTCTGGATGAGCATCTTTGTAACCGCCCTTGAAACTACGATTGATTGGCGACCTGACCGCAGAAAGTAAAACTACATCGTTCGGGCTTTTCTGCAGCACATTCCGCGCGGCTTTGCTAAAGGACGCCATTTCGGCACAAGAACTGACAGTCTACGCGTCGCATTGATACATGAATGCCTATTGTATGATCTCACAGGGCCGAGGAAGTGCCGCATCGTGGTTGCGGCCAGAGCTGTGGCGGGGCGACGTGTATGTGTGGGGCAGGAGCGAGAGACCCCTCCATGCCGACTCGGGCAACAACGCAATGATGCTTGCCCAATCTAGCTTGCATGCGGACGCGACCATTTACTTTGAACATTTTCACGCGCAAACTGATCTCAACAAGACATTACACGATGGCGCTCCCGAACAAGTACCAGAATGGCAACATTGACTCCTCTGCCAAGGGAGTGTACAGGGCATCGCCCGTCAAGCTCATGATTTACGGAAATGGTAGGCAGACTGCGAATAGTGATCGAGGAAAAAACTTACAAGTTCGCACAGGAACGAGCAGCCAGCTTTCAGATGTCATTGCCGAGCTCGGTGCTACAAAGGCCTTCATCATCACCGGACGATCCTTAAACGAGAAGACTCCCGTGATCAAGAATATTGAGCAGACACTTGGTTCTGCGCATGGTGGTACATTCAGCAAGATTGGACAGCATGCGTATGTGAAGAGCCGTTGAAATATGGACAGCAAGGCTGACAATTCCAAGACCGATCCAAGATATCAAAGAAGCCACCGCGCTGATGACCAAATCCGGATGCGATGTACTCATATCCATAGGCGGTGGTTCGCCCATTGACTCAGCCAAGGCTATTGCATACAATATCCACGAGGAGACCGGAAAGTGGATACCTAGTATCGCTGTACCAACGACACTGAGTGTAGCTGAGACGACGCAAAACGCTGGCTTCACCACCGAAGAAAAGCACAAGATCGCCGTGAGCAACCCAGAACTTGTACCCAAGGGTAAGCACGATGTCGGACGATCGGAGAGACTCAGGCTAATCAAATTCAGCTGTGGTATACGATGGTGAGCTTGCCGTGTACACACCTTTGAACCTCTGGACAAGCACAGGAGTACGTTCATCACCTCCCCAGGCGCTGAAGTAGAACCTATCTCTGACACACTCGCAGATTCGATCACTGGACCACGCAGTTGAGCTGATGTACCACCCCCTGGCCGCCGAGATCCCTACAAAACGCATGTCTCTGGAAGCTATCAAGGATCTCTTCACATACCTACCGCAATCGAAAGCCAACCCCAACGACGCCGAAGTGCGAACAAAGCTCTTCGTTGCTTGTTACTCCTCACTCTTCCCCTTCCTGTACACCGGCGGAGTCGGCCTCAGTCACAGCATCGGCCATGCGATTGGTGCAACGTACAGCATTCCGCATGGCATCACCAGCTGCCTCAGTCTCGCACCGACGGTTCACTTTAAGGCGAGCAACCCAGAGGAGGCGAAGCAAATCGCTAGGATCATCCCATACATCGGGAAGCAAGGTACTGGTAGCGATGAGAAGGATTCCCACGTCGTTGCCGATGCCATTGCTGGACTAGTCGAAGAGCTGGGACACAAGACCACCTTGACAGCTGTAAGTAGCTGAAGTATGTCGAGGAGGTCATTGCTAACGTCCAATAGTACAACGTGCCGTCTGGCGATGCGGAAGAAGAGGCTATCGCATCTCGTGCGCTACACAGCAAAGACCACAAGGACTTCGCTAGCTGTACGTTGTCGTGCACATTCTCCGAAAATCCTTTAGCTGACATTTGCTGCAGTGAAGCAAATCGTGCACGATCTGTACTAATCGACTCGATGAGTTTGTCATGTAGTGTCCATAGTAATACATATCTACCAACTCTTCAATATAGACATCCAAATGTGCCCGCAGCCCGTCAATGACCATCAGCCTTTCGCACACGCGTTGGCTCGTCAGCACGTGAGCCAGCTATCGTGGCTCGGCCTTGGAAATGTTTTCCACGTTGCCTTTTTCCGCGTGTGGCTTCGCCCAATGAACGTGCGTTTTGGCCGCAACCTCCGCATCTTGGCCGGCTAAGTCCTCATCCACCTCCGATTGTGGAGCTTTGCTCTTACCCGCCATCGGCACGGCATTTGCATCGGTCTGACCCAATCGGTTATTTGCTGTCATGCATGCCCTCGTGGTGCTCGTGTGGGGAGCGTCATCTCCGCTGTACACTACAATTCTACACGCGATCTTTGTGCACTGAGGTTTGTGGAGGGTCTGACGCTTCGATCTGGTGTCAATTGAGCTGAGCTTACACTTTGGAATTGGACAACCCATCAACAACCTCTGTGCCATTACAAGCTGAGCCAAGCGATCCGAAACCCATCGTTCCGACTTCACTTCCTCGATACTTTGCGACTCACGACTACGAACCTCACGATGCAACGTTCTCTCCTTTTCTCGGCGCGCCGACGCGGCCCAGCGACGGGCATGCGATTCTTCTCTGCCAGCGCCTCTCGACCAGCCATCAACAAGATCGTCTCCTCCGCACAAGAAGCTATCAAGGACATGAAGTCCGATTCCACAGTTCTGGTCGGTGGATTCGGCTTCTCTGGAGTCCCCAACACCCTCATCAACGCTCTACGCGACCGAAGCGACCTTACAAACTTCACAGTTGTCAGTAATAACGCTGGTATGCCCGGCGTTGGGCTTGGACAGCTTCTGGAGACGAAGCAGATTGGCACGATGATTGCGAGTTACATTGGCGACAACAAGGTGTTCGAGCAAATGTACCTGAAGGGTCAATTGAGTCTGCAGTTGACCCCTCAGGGTACCATCGCAGAGAAGTGCGCTGCTGGTGCTGCGGGTGTACCGGCTTTCTACACACCAGCGGCATATGGAACAATAGGTATGCGGATCTCACCATGATTTGACAAGTGCAGGGCACAGCTAACACCCTCCAGTACAAACCGGCGAACTCCCTGTACGATACAACACCGACGGCACCATTGCGAAAATGGCCCCTCCGAAAGAAACCCGCGAGTTCAACGGCAAATCCTACGTCATGGAAGAAGCCATCTTCGGTGACTACGCCTTCGTCAAAGTCGCCAAAGCCGATCGTCTCGGCAACTGCCAGTTCCGCAAAGCACAGAACAACTTCAACGAAGCCATGGGCAAGAACGCGAAGATGACGATTGTCGAGGCCGATGAGATTGTTGAGGATGGAGAGATCGCACCAGAAGACATTCATCTCCAGGGCATATACGTCAAGAGGGTGATCAAGAGCACAGTGGGCAAGGAGATCGAGCGGAAGGTCTTCTGGAAGAGCCCCGAGGAGCAGAAGAAGGCACGGCTGGAGGGTGGCAAGTTCACGCAGATGATGGCATAAGAGACTGTGGCTAACGAAGGTACTAGGCTCGACCGAATCATCACAGAAGCGCGAGCGCATCATCAAGCGCGCAGCACAAGAACTGAAGGATGGCATGTATGTCAACCTCGGTATCGGCATGCCGCTGGCAGCACCTGCCTTCCTGCCCGAGGGTACCGAGATCGTTTTGGAGTCTGAGAACGGAATTTTGGGTATGGGACGGTATCCCAAGCCTGGCGAGGAGGTGAGAATGCGATAACGGAGTAGTGTTACAGTGTGGCTAACGCGCTCAGGACCCCGACCTTATCAACGCCGGAAAAGAGACCGTGACTCTGATCAAGGGTGCATCAACTTTTGGCAGCCACGAGTCTTTCGGCATGATCCGATCAGGTCGGATAGACGTTGCCATGCTGGGTGCCATGCAAGTAAACCAATACGGAGGTTCGTTCCATACTGTTATCACACATACCCTTCTTCCCACTAACTATTGCTAGACCTCGCAAACTTCATGCTTCCCGGAAAGGTCAAAGGCATCGGCGGCGCAATGGACCTAGTCGCGAACCCCACACAAACCAAAGTCGTCATCACCATGGAACACGTCGACAAGAAGGGCAACCCCAAGATCCTAAACCAATGCACATTCCCTCTCACAGGACAAAAGTGCGTGAGCACTATCATCACGGACCTGGCAGTATTCGACTGCGATCGCGTTGAAGGTCTGACCCTGAAGGAGCATGCGAAGGGCGTCACCGTGGATGAGATCAGAAGCAAGACGGAGGCGCCATTCAAGGTCAGTGAGAATCTGAAGGAGATGAGCGTGTAGGAGAGATGAGCAAAAAAGATACCAAAGAACAATTTCCATCACTGAGCGAGCAAGCAAACAATTTCTATCCCTTCATTCGAAGATTGTGCTAATCTGAGCCTATCTACTACCACCCTCCACAGCATCCAAAAACACATACGCCGGCGCCGGCATATCCTCACTGATATCACCCCAAGCACTCCAATGTTTCCAGACCAATTTCTTCTGCTCAATCTCATTCGCAATTGCAATCGCCATATCCGAGACACTAATCCCCGTCAACCTCCCCTCAAACACATCTTTGCCCTCCTGCTGCTCCCCCAACAACACCATCTCATCAACACTAATCTCGTACTTCCCAGTCCTCTTCCCAGGACGGTACAAAGCAGACGGCGAAACAAAACTCCAATCAAAGTTCTTCCGGTCCTCAAAGAACATGTACGTCGTTCGCCCCGCTTTAATAAAGTCTGATGCGTTGTCTTTGGCGCGGATTTGTTTCTCGTAGTCTGCGATCACAGTTCTGTCTTCTTCCGTGGTGATCCCGGAGCTCTCTGCTAATCTGGCTTCGCGGTATCGTCGCAGTGAGGTGCCCATGATACCGAGGCGCTCTTCCATGTATGCTATATGCGCTAGTGATGTGGAGATGGCGCGGCGGTAGGCGAGGAAGAAGTCTGGGTGGTCGACGCAGGAAATGTTAGTGCCGGGAACGTGGAGGGAGCCTGCGCCGCCGACGAAGATGAAGTATGACGCGGGCCGTAGCTTGTAGGCGAGCAGGATCTTGCGAACGGATTCTAGTAACGGCACTGTTGTGGATCAGTCATTGGTTACTGGTATCTTGAATTGGCTGAAACGTACTGTACAATAAAGCCCCAGGACCAGCTGTATGCGGTCCAAACTCGCTGACCAGGACATCCAGGCCATCGAAAACTTCCGATAGTTCCTCTATCGAGACTTGGTCGACATCTACTGGCCTGGGGATGTAGCGCGGATGCTTTCCTACTTTCTCGGGGTTGCGTGAAATGCCAATCACGGTATGGCCTCGATTCAGCAACTCGACAGTGAGATAGGATCCTCCGAAACCTGCAGGGCCGATTACGCCTACCCGCAGGGGCTTTGATGACATGATGGAATAGAACAATAATGAAGTCATTTGGGATTGCGCTCAGATTTTGGCACTTGAGTGTGAAGTAGGTGGGCACATGTCGCGTCGCGTTCACATGACCACTATGCTATGTCGTCAAATGCAAGGTTACGCGTGTTCAATGGCAACGATTTCGGAGTAGTACGCCGAGGTTGTTGTATTGGGGAAAGGCAATTGGGGAAGTGAGGGGATGATGTGGGGCTTGGGTAAACACCAAGGAGCGAATGACGCTAGCCGATCCAGCGAGTACATTGGAAGAAAGACGACGAGCGTTGTGAACTAAGGCATCTTGAAGAGGAAAAAGTATCAGAAGGTTGATCCTACTACTGTTTCAAGATAGAGTATCATTTGGAAACATGGCGTTGGCAGATAACTACGCATTCATCGGTGAGCACTCCTACTCAGTACCTTAGTAGGCATTTCTAATAACGACAAGGTCTCGGAGCGATGGGCTACGCGATGGCAGCCAACATCCGCAAGAAGATCGACCCATCTTCGACCCTCTACATCAACGACATCAACGCCTCGGCATGCTCCCGCTTCAAAACCCAATACTCGTCGCACGGCCATATAGAAATCGTCGCTACAGCACGCGAAGCAGCGGAAAATGCGAAAGTACTGATATCCATCGTACCAGGAGGTGAAGATGTAAGGAAAGTGTATCTAGACGAGAAAGACGGAGTGATTGCAGCGAAGAAAGATCAGGAAAGGATAATGCTAGAATGCAGCACCATCGACGTCAACACCACGAAAGAAGTAGGCCAAAAGCTCAAAGAAGCCGAAATGGGAACATATATCGACGCCCCCGTATCCGGCGGCGTTCCAGCAGCAGAAGCAGGCACACTATCGATGTTAATCGGGCACCCACCGCCAGCACAAACACCAACTTCTTCCGCTTCTCCAGACTCTCGAATTACGACGATCCTCACGATGCTTGGCCCACCATCCAAAGCCTTCTACCTGAACACCCTCGGCGCCGGTCTCACCGCTAAAATATGCAACAACTACCTCTCCGGCACCATTCTCCTCGCCACCGCCGAAGCCCTCGCAATAGGCGTATCTCACGGCCTCGACCCCTCCGCTTTATACTCCGTGATCAAGAACAGCACTGGTCAGTCTTGGATGTGCGATCACGTCATGCCCATTCCCAATGTGCAGAAGGAGTATTGGGTGCCGAGTAACAGTGGTTATAAACCGGGGTTCAAGACGCAGATGATGCTCAAGGATTTGGGATTGGGCATTGAGAGCGCGGGTCAGGTTGGGGTGAGGCCGAGTATGGCGGAGAGGGCGTTGGAGGTTTGGGAAGAGGCGGCGAAGGACGAGAGGTGTGTAGATAGGGATGGTAGCAGTATATATTTGTATGTTGGAGGTCGTCTACCGAAGGGATACGAAGACAAAGGGAGAAAGAATGAGGATGGAACGTGGGAGTTTGCGGAGTAAGGCTTCTGTCATCTTTAATATACATAGTGGTGTTGCGGACCTGTTCTGATGCACTCATGTAGTCTTAATACCGTCTACTTTCCTTGAAAGAAGTTCTGGAAGACCTCCATAATGGCATCAAACCCAGCCGTCTCTCCCAGCTTGAGTACCCTCTCATCTCTTCCAATCTTTGCTGGGTCACCATCTGGAACCCATCTGCTCGTGACACCATCGGAACTAGGCCCGTAAACCTTGGCACACAACTTGTCGGTCTTTACAGGCGGCCAGGGGTCCTCACCGTTGACGAATTTGATGAAGTCTTCTCCGTACTCTCGTGCTACCTTCTGTTGCGCGTCGTCCAGGTGCTCGTTGTAGTTCTGGAAGAGGTACGATACATCGAGAATGTGGCCTGCTTCGCCCTTGAAGCGGCCTTCCCAAGGTATTCCTTCGTTGAAGTGGTAAAGGAAGAACTTCGAGTCGGGTGTGTTGGGCCAGCCTTGAGCGAAGGCACGAGCGGGCGCATAGAAAGATATCTCGGAACCAAAGCGCAGTATTGAAAGCATAGCCTCTTCGTCCGGGGTCTCGGGGGTTATCTTGTAGGATGTGAGAAGCTGTTCCGCAACCTCTGGCTTGGCGGACAGTGTGGCGTTGCAGGAGTCGATGAACTTTTGCGCGACGCCTGGTTTGCGAGCATCGAGACCAAGGTATGCGATGATGTTCGCCTAAGAAAAATGAGCTCACATATCTTGAGTATCGCGATAGTAAACTTACGTCCAACTTTGACTCTCCAATCATGAAGGCCTTGCACCACTTCCTGCCCGGCATCATGAAAGCTGGGCTGTCTTCTTGAGATGAGACGGTAAGGAAATCTGGTGAGCCCGGCATAGTATCTTTGTCAACTGAAGGCAGCATCGGTGCTGTGGGTGGCACCTTCTGCCATAGATCATCCAAGGGTATACTCAGGAGGGCCTTGATACGATCCTCAGGCGACTTGTCCGTCAGACCAAATGCTTCGATGGCTTTTTGGTACGAGGAGTCTGCCACAAAATCTGGAATGGGCTTGAACAGTAGCACAGCTCCTCCAGTACTAAGACATCGCTTCATCAGCGGCTCCTCCGAGCAGAGCAATACTGTCGCAGACACTGCGTACGTTAGTCGAGCTCTAGATCAACAGCGTCCAAAACATACGTCCACCGGCGCTCTCTCCGCATACTGTGATCTCATCTGCGTCACCCCCGAATCCGCCTATGAACTTCTTGATCCACTGTAGAGCCGTGCGCTGGTCGTGAAAGCCGTTGTTCGCTTTGTATCCTGCTTTGCGCAATTCTTCGGAAGTCGCAAACCCTGTGAAACCCAATCGATAGCTGTATCTGTTAGTAGACGAAGTGTGTTTCAGGTTGTGAGACCCACTTGATGGTAATGCCGATGATGGGTTTTTTCCTCTCGACAGACATCTTCACAATAGGAGCTGGATCATAGTGCGGGTACCAGCTACTCCCAACAGCAAAACCGCCTCCATGTATGAAGACAAAGACAGGCAACTTCGCGTTGGAATCAACAGCTCCATCCTTGTTGGTCGGCACCGTGATGTTAAGGTTCAGACATTCGAGGTCGGAATGCGTCGGAACCTCTGGGAGTGGCAGGGAATGTTGAATGAAGCCGAACTCGCGTTCAATGGCACCGACTGGAGATACTGGAGGAGGACTGTTCCATTAGTAAATGGTAACCGGCGTCACCAGTTGACGTACCCAAATTTGGTGGCGTCCGTAGTGCCAGATCCATAGCTATCAACGAGCTGGGGTGCAGCCAAGCGATCTTTTAACGAAGCATACTTCAGGCCAAGAAATTGCACTGCGCCATCTACTGGCTTTCCTTCTATTTCACCTAGGTGTTGGTGCTTGAGGGTTTCCGACATGTTGGCTGCTGCATGGGATGGGATGGTAGGAAGCAAAGGATCGTTCCATAGACTAACGGATTGTTTACTATTGCCTAGTGTCTGCTTGGATTGGCTGAAGGAAGTTGCGCATCCCTGAAGCTGCTTCTCTGGAAGCAGGTACGTTGGGGGCAATGATGGTCCGACAATTACCCCGCACCTGTACCTGCCATTTTAGTAGTGGGGCAATCACCCGCGACCAAACATCGCGTGCGGGATGTGGGGGTACTGCAGCGACTGCGCCTCGCATCGATGAGGATATCGTATTTCGTCCGATGTCTGAGCTCGGCAATTAGCAAGCATGTGTTCGGCTAGATAGAGTGCTACCTAGGTAGATGTACATGTTACACGCAGTCAGTTTCTTGCGCAAATGACACCAACAATGAAGGCCGGCCTCCCTCATACTGACGCCTTTGTCAGTCTTGCTCTCCTCGATGGCGGCAGCTTTCTAGGAGATCTGAGCCGCTTGCATGCTGGTGAGAGTGGCACATTTCGCATGTACAACTGGGCGTTTTACATCTCGCACCAGGGAAGACACATACTTTGGGATCTTGGGTTGGATGAGGTGCGTAGGCCAATATCGGGTTTGGCTACCTCAATCTTCTTCTAACTAGTTTCTTGAAGGACCGAAGTTGTTATACCCCTTGGGTTAACAAGTTCATGTTGGATCTCGTCAACCACGTCGGGCCAAGGAGAACTATCGTTCAGCAGTTGGCGCAAAGAGGCGTAGCTGCGGAAGATGTCGATACTGTCTTGTTCAGGTATGGTAACAAGGCTGGCGTGAATGAAGTTCGCTGAGCAGCCTACAGCCACGCTCATTGGGATCATTCGAGGCCTATCAGCGATTTATTTCCAAATGCGATGGCGTACTTTGGTCCCGGTACGAGAGCAGCATGTCAGCCAGGGCATATGAGAGATCCAAGCCTACAGTGGGACGGCCGCTTCTTTGATCCGGAGAACTCGACAGAAAAATGGGATGAGCTACATGGCGCGTGGAAGCCCTTTGGCCCTTTCGAAAGAGCAATGGACTACTTCGGAGACGGCAGTTTCTGGATCCTAGATGCACCTGGCCATATGCCTGGTAACTTGGCTGCTGCTGCAAGACTGCAAGATGGCGAGTGGGTAATACTTGGCAGCGATTGTATGTTATCCCATGGAGTTTCCATTGGCGCTCGCTAATCTTGTGCTAGGCTGTCATTCGCGGTACGTTAAATTGATTGCACCAGGCGTTTGCTGACGTGCATGGTGTACACGACCGGGCGTTTACTGACCGGTCAGGGATTTGCTGGACGGCACGCGAACAATTGCAGAGTTCCAAGGCCCAGGGGCAGTGAGCATGTCACTGCATACAGACCTTTCTTCGGCGAAAGAAACCATCGCTAAGATAGGACTGCTTGAAACCAAGTTTGGTGCTCATACAGCGCTCGCACACGATGCTAGCTGGCTGAAGAAGGGCACGGACCAGGTGCTCATGTCACTGCTGGACGACGAGATGCGAGTTGCAGCCCAGGAAAAGATACCGTATGATGAGATACCGTAGATGGAGTTTGAGACACGAACCAGATTTAGTAACCGAATGTTGGAGGCCTAATGATCAGTAAACGCGTCAGTGGGTTCGCTACGCGTTTTTTCGTGGCGCGATTGCTGTCCGCAGGTTGGACGCACGAATGTGGAATGCGTCAACGTTGTCTTGCTAGATGTCGACAAAGCAACAAGCCAGACGTGAAATGTTTCGAGGTCGCTTAGAGAAGTAAATGCAGACGTCCATTTTGCTGGGCGATGCTCGCGCATAGTCTATTCCAAGGTTGTGAGTTGGCTGTCTCACCATAGCCATCACGCTAAAGACGCGCCTAGCTGAACACCAACATCATGACGTCTCGCGTCGCAGGGTGCTGTAGCGCCCACACTACAGACAACGCCCCGCCAGCCTTACAAGATATACCGCAACCTAGGAGCCTAAAGCGCATGGTAGGCAATGGCAACGGAGGAGATGAAAGAGATGTTCAATAAAGAATACGTGGTGACGTCAGTGGCCATGGCTCAAGCAAGCAACGCCATCTTGTCACACCCTGAAGTTCATCTCCAACATCGCAAGCCTTTGACGAAACGGGATCGATGCTTCCACGGCCGCAATTTACAAACACGCGCCTTTCCAACACACGCTAGAGATATCCCACCACCAAGCGCCACAGGATCGCCTAGTGCTGATTTACTCCACTCAAGCGCCAAGATGCCACGATCGGGGGGCCTGGATCAGCACGACCTCATATACATAGGTACTTCAGTCCTCCACACCTAGCAGACTTTACACTTAGCCCTTCACAATGGCGCTTCGTGACCTACCATGGGTGACGATACTCTTCTCTGGCATCATTGCGGCGCTCGCATATGGCGTAATGAGATTGATCCAAGTTCGGCGATTTTACAAAGATGTCGTACGTTGGCAGTGTTCGGCACGGGCTATAATCAAGACAGTACTGACGGTATATCAGCCCAAACCGCCTCATAGCTTCTTCTTCGGTCATTTGAAACTGCTCGGCGAGACCTTCAAATCGCTACCCAGTGATGTACATTATCAGGCAGCGGTGGTTACGATCGCCAGGAAGTACAACATGCCAGGTGTCTTCTACCTCGATTTGTGGCCTGCCTCATTTCAGCAAGTTGTGGTGACAGATCCGGATGTTGCACTTGACATGACAGTCATCCGGAATCACCCCAAACATGAAATGGAGGCAACAATGGTCGACCCCTTGATTGGAAGCGGCAACATCGTCACAACGAACGGACCACAATGGAAGTATCTCCACAAGATGTTGAGTCCTGCTTTCGCCACTTCGCACATCACCAACATGAGGCCGATGGTTGCTGACGAGGTTATGAAGTTTCGGTCGAAACTTTCCGAGAAAGCTGAATCGGGTGAGGTTTTCAGGTTGGAGGACCATACTCTGTGCATGACGTTTGATGTCATATCGACTATGACCTTTGGCCGATCTCTTGACGCGCAGACCAAAGGTAGCCCTGCTCTGCAGCACTTTGAAAAGATGTGCCGTGCTTTTATGATCACGCGAGAGTCTCATAACTATATCCGCAACTTCTTTGTCAACCGGACGGTTTTCGCCGAACGCGCAAAGTTTGATGCTATTGTGGAAGGGCTCATCAAAGAGAGATTCGAGATAGTCAAACGTAAGAAATCCAATGGAGTCCCTGCATACTTGAACTTCGTGCGGCTAACACATAGCTGCAGGCGACAAGCTCGATCTCTCGGAGAAGCGAGGACTAGGGATCATGGACCTCATCTTGCGAGACTATGTTGCAGAGCGACAGGGTGACGTAAAGGAGCTCGACCCCCAATTCACCAAAGATGCTCTCACACAAGTGAAGACTCTTTTGATCGCTGGACTTGGAACTACGTCGGATACCATCTGTTTCGGAGCTATGCTGCTTAGCGTTCACCCTGAAGTGGTACAAAGGATGCGCGAAGAGCACGACCGTGTTTTCACCCCTGGTATCGAAGCGACGTACGAAATGCTTAAGAGGGAGCCGTATAAGCTGAATGAGCTCACCTATACGAACAACGTCATCAAGGAAGTCCTGAGGTTCTATCCGATAGGAAATACCGCACGCAAGGGCATCGATACTCTCACGTATCAGGGTCGCGAATGGCCGACCAAAGATCGCATGATCTGCCCCGTCCAACTGGCTATGCATATGGATCCAGCGATATTCCCAGGCAAGTGACATCTATCGATCCTTCTTTGTGACACACATCCGGTGGCTAATGCTTCGTCCAGATCCGCTCAAGTTCGATCCAGACCGGTTTACACGAGAAGACCATCCGCGGCACGCCTGGCGTCCATTCGAGAGAGGACCGCGTGCGTGTCTGGGCCAACCGCTGGCTATGGACGAGTTCGTGATCGTATTCCTGCTGACAATACGCGATTTCGACTTTACTTGCGCGGATCTGAAACCCAACAAGACGCCTCGAGCAGAGTGGAATGATCTGGATCTGACATTTGGTGATCGCGCCTACCAGGAATTTGTTTTCGAGGCCAAACCACGAGACGGCATGCCGATGACCGTTAAGAAGTCCAACTGGTCAAAGTAAGCGCGGCAACGGCTGCCAATTCGGGTCAATAGACGACATCAGTGGCGGTCGCTAGTATGGACCATCCCAGGGCTCCTGCTCCGCAACGCATGTGTGTATGTATTGACTCGGGAGGGGCGGATGGCGGATTGGGGTCAACGTGTCATGGGAAATTAGGAAATGTGCCATGGTTGTCATTCGGAGTCTTATTGCCTGATGCACGTTGACAAACTGCCGCGCGACACTGACGGAACCTGGGGTAGGTAACTTCCAAGGTTGGAAGCATGGCTGTTGAGGCATAAGCAAATACCATCAAGGTTCCATCCCGTCTTCCGTCAGCCCACATTGGCGCATCCCTTGCGGATGCTCGGCTGGTGCTTATGCGAGACCATCCTGCAATTCCAGTATTTCACCGACGTCTTGTGCGTGTAGTTGCCGTGCCTTAAACTTACCGCTTCTCGGGTGTGATGCTTACAGTCGCAGATTTACATTCAGCCTGAATGCATAGCCAGGCGCAGCCAATCGGAGGGCGGGGAGATCCACATAGCGCGAACCCCTCACAGATTTTGCAAGTACCATGGGGCTCCGCATGCGGCTCGGGTACAATCTTGGCTGCCGTATGCCTCTGGGCCAAGCATCGGGAGTGGCTTCGGACACAAGACTGGCTCGGCGCTCGGAAATAAGTGGACTGGCGACCGCTGCTCAACCGCGTGGCCGACGAGACCATGACGTACAGGAATCGTGGGCTATGGTGTTTACCAACCGCGTGCTGACGCAGGGTCGGTGACTACGGCTATTTACTGTGCTATAAGACATGGAGTGAAGACGACGACGAGCTGCATCCGGACCATCCGAACCAAACCAGACAACCGGCGTCATGTTTACCTCGACGCGTGCGCTGCAAGTATTGGCCTTCGCTGCGACAGGAGCGTATTCTCAATACGTGTTCCCGGACTGCAGCAGTGGACGGTTGAGCAATGAGACCATCTGCGATCCTTCGGCGTGTACGTTCATCTCTACTACACAACATTTCAGCCATACTAACGCTTTCCAGCTCCGCTAGCTCGTGCGAGAAACCTCGTGTCTCTCTACACTCTCGAGGAGAAGATCAATGCTACGAGCAGTGGCTCGCCAGGCGTTGCTCGTCTCGGCATACCACCTTACCAGTGGTGGAACGAGGGTCTTCACGGCATTGCTGGCCCTTACACCAACTTCAGCGATGAGGGGGAGTTTAGCTACTCCACCTCGTTCCCCCAGCCCATCTTGATGGGTGCGGCTTTCGACGATGAACTCATCACCGAAGTCGCAAAGGTCATCTCCACCGAAGCGCGTGCTTTCAACAACGCGAACAGGACTGGCCTTGACTTCTGGACACCCAACATCAACCCGTTCCGTGACCCTCGCTGGGGACGCGGACAGGAGACACCCGGTGAAGACTCCTACCATCTGTCTTCTTACGTCCAGGCCTTGATCCACGGTCTTCAGGGTGACGCGTCTGACCCGTACAAGCGTGTTGTCGCAACTTGCAAGCATTTTGCAGGTTATGACGTTGAGGACTGGAACGGAAACCTCCGCTACCAGAACGACGTGGAGATCTCACAGCAGGATATGGTCGAGTACTATCTCGTTCCATTCCAGGCCTGTGTTCAAGCGAACGTCGGTGCTTTCATGTGCAGCTACAATGCGGTAAACGGTGCCCCACCATGTGCCGATCCTTACCTGCTGCAGACCATTCTGCGTGAGCACTGGGGCTGGACGAACGAAGAGCAATGGGTCACATCCGACTGTGATGCTGTTCAGAACGTCTACCTCCCGCACCAGTGGTCATCATCTCGTGGTGGCGCTGCTTACGACTCCTTGAAGGCCGGTACCGATCTCACGTGCGGTACTTACATGCAGGAGCACCTTCCCGCTGCCGTCCAGCAAGGTCTTCTCGATGAAGCTGTCCTTGACCAGGCCCTTGTCCGTCAATACTCTTCGCTCGTCCGTCTTGGCTACTTCGACTCTGCCGACAACCAGCCCTACCGCCAGCTCGGCTTTGACGCGGTTGCCACCAACGCTTCGCAGGCACTCGCACGCAGGGCCGCTGCCGAGGGTATCGTTCTGCTGAAGAACGATGGTACGCTGCCGCTCTCTGTCGATTCGTCTATGTCAATCGGCCTCTTCGGTGACTGGGCGAACGCAACCGATCAGCTCCTCGGTAACTACGCTGGTGTTGCCACCTACCTTCACTCTCCTCTGTATGCTCTCGAACAACTCAACGTTACCATCAACTATGCTGGCGGAAACCCCGGTGGCCAGGGCGACCCAACGACCAACCGTTGGTCCAACCTTTATGGCGCGTACTCTACCAGCGATGTCCTAATGTACGTCGGCGGTATCGACAACAGCGTTGAGGCGGAAGATGACGACCGCACTTACCTCACATGGACTGGAGCTCAGCTCGATGTTATCAGCCTGCTCGCCGACACCGGAAAGCCAGTCATCGTTGTGGTCACTGGAGGTGGACAGATTGACAACACCCCTCTCGTCAACAACCCCAACATCTCTGCCATTCTCTGGGCCGGATACCCTGGTCAGGATGGAGGTTCCGCCATCATCGACATCGTTACCGGAAAGACTGCTCCCGCTGGACGTCTCCCTACGACCCAGTACCCCTCCAACTACATTGCCCAGGTCTCCATGATGGACATGAACATGCGCCCTGGTGAGAACAACCCTGGTCGCACTTACAAGTGGTACAATGGTTCCGCCGTCTACGAGTTCGGTCACGGTCTGCACTACACCAACTTCTCCGCTGAAGTCACTAGCGAGCTTCAACAGAGCTACGCCATCTCTGCCCTCACGCAGAACTGCAACAGCACTGGAGGTTTCCTCGAGCGTTGCCCCTTCGTATCTGTCGATGTTGAGGTCTCCAACGATGGCGATGTTAGCTCTGACTATGTTACTCTTGGCTACATTGCTGGAGAGTTTGGTCCTGCGCCCCACCCCAAGAAGTCGCTTGTCTCTTACAAGCGTCTCCACAACATCGCTGGAGGCTCTTCCGCCACTGCGACTCTCAACCTCACTCTTGCGTCTCTTGCCAGAGTTGACGAGATGGGCAACAAGGTCTTGTACCCCGGTGATTACACCATGATGATCGACAACCACCCGCTTGCGAGCGTCAACTTTACCTTGACTGGAGAGCATGCGATGCTAGACATGTGGCCTCAGCGTCCCAACCAGACCGCTCAGGGCGTCGAGTACGTTGGTGACTACTGGTACGGAGGTTACGGCAGCGACTATGGTGCTGAGCCTGCGGAGTTCCAGAGCACCATGTAAATGGACTTTCGTATACCTATACATACAAAATGTATATAGCAATCTACCAAGTGACTGCAATTCTTACTGAACACTTGCAACATGTGAATCTACTTCCATCTTCATCTCACCTTCACCATCGAACTTGCGCTCGGACCATAATGTTTGTTTGCTACACCGACTGGCTCTTTCCACCTTTTGTCATCCGCTCCTTCCCACACATTTTTCCACCCCCGATACTGAACGACCGATCAAGACAGCGATGACCCTTTGCGACGAGTGCGACAACGAGAGCAAACTGCGTTGCAGTGGTTGCGGCGCAAGCTGGTACTGCTCGAAAGAGTGCCAGAAGAAGGCGTGGCCTCTTCACAAGATTCTCTGCAGATCCACCAAGGACTTCCAAGACCGCCCCGAAGCCGGAGGACCTGGTGAGAAATACACTCGCGCTATCTACTTCGATCCCGATGAAGGCGCACCCCGATTCGTGTGGCTCAAGACTATGACCAAAGATGGAGAGTACGGACACCCTTGCCTCACAGCTTGCCCCGGTGCGCTAGCCGCCAACAACGAGAAGGAAACAGAGTCTGAAGAGGAAATTGGTATGACAGATATGAAGATCCGGCATAATCACGCGCTCGCCCGTCGTCTCCCATACAACTTGGTCTTGTCCTACCGCGAGAACTTTCTCCACGATGGATCGACGCACAACATGGCCATCGACAAGATCATCGACCCTAACTCTCCTCACCTACACGCCTGGCGGGGTCCGATGATTGCTTATGGAACCGATGCTTTCGATGACGTCCCTTTCAGTCAAGATCCGTCGTACAGCCAAGATCTCGGTCCTTCCGGCCTTCGTATTATCGCGCACAAGCTCAACACTTACTACTCCAAGTACGCTGTTGGTCCAACGATTGAGGACATCAAAGAAGAGTTGAGTAGCGTGATCGGCGTACGCATCAACTGCGATGGCGACGTCGAAGTTGAAGGCCGCCCTCGCTATGAGCCTATGGAACTTCCGGCCTACCGCTCATTCTTCCACGCAGCCACCGATGTCTCAAAACACATTGAGCTACCCTTCACTGTTCAGCGCATTCCTGGAAGTGTCGCCAAATGGAAAAAGCGACCGGAGACTCCGTCGGGCAAAAAGTCTTGGGTCAATGTTGCTGGTACATTCCTCAACATTGGCTGCAAGCCCGAGCGTGCGGACACCGGCTTCAATTGGGGCCTCGCACCACCAGAATGGCAGAATGACGTTGGTTCTGTTGTCGTCATGCGCAAAGACAAGAGGCCTCTCCTTCCGATACACGTCTTCGCTCTCGCCGACTATCATCAGCATCGTCTCATGGATGTCTTCGAGTCGGAGGGGGAGAGTGTGCATTCAGATAAGGAGCCTGAGCTGAAGCGCGACAAGGCGTGGATCATGAAGCAAATCACCAAGGACAAGTTCGAGGAGTACTACATGACTTGGAAGTCGGGAATGACAAAGGAGGTGCCCCGCATCTCGCCTTACGACTTCTAGTATTGTTGTGAGCTCGGCGCCAGGCAACGTGGGCTTTGTCTTCTCGTTCAGAGATCTATCATGTCGAAGTTGGCGTCCATATCCGGCTTGTAGTACCTGAAGCAGACGACGCGCGCACAGTTTCCATGGGTGTTGGCAATGGTTTCGAGAAAGGTCGTTACCTAGCTGGTTATTAGTAAAGCTCGACTGATACAACATGAATCCATCCAGATCACACTCTCGTTTCGTAGGCTTGGTGACGTATTTGCATCCTTCATTATCGTCTAATATGTATTGATTCCACCCAGCCTACAACTTGCTCTTGAAACCGCCTACATCCTTAACGATCATAACCGACATCGGCTCCCTAAGTAGATCCTCCCCGTTGACCGCCGCTTGTAACTTCTTCAATCCCGCGCTCTTGGCATGGAACATCAGAGCATCTTTGTCCGCATATCTGATGACTGTCAGTTTTGAATTTACCTCAGACATTGCGGCGTGACTTACGTTTCGAAGATGACAAAGCTCGGCGCGTCGCCCTTGGTTTCGCGCTGTAGGTGATACCGGGTGGTGCCGGGCTCGGTGGCTTTTACTTCTTGGGCTGCGATGTTGAGCAGTTCTTCCACCTGTGGAGGGCATTAGTTGTTTGTAATTGATGAGATGTCAATTTCACGCGTACCCTGTCTTGGTTGCCAGGCTTGGGCTTGAGGATGGCGATGATTTCGTAGCCTCTGGACATGATGACGTAATGTTCGACGCGCGATCGTTGGCTTGAGGAGATGCAGATGTTTCAGCGCGCAAAAGAACTATAATATGCAGGAATATTGAGAGATGCGGGATATTCAGATAACGCAGCCAAGCCACAGGTCGCGTCGTTGAGCTCGTTGCCGTCAGCTTACTTTCTCCGCTTTCCCAAAGTAGCGCCGAACCGAAAGATGCCGAGGCACGATTCAGGAGGTATCCACGCGTCGCAGCACATACTGCGCGTTCACTCTACTACCCGTCACATCACGGTCGCAATGTATAGCGGTTTTGTGACGAGAGTTGCCGCTTGGCAATACGACTGCATACTCCACACGCGCCTCTGCCGATGCAGTTCGCTTGCAAGCATCGAGAGGTCACGAGGTGCGGGGCAGACGCGCACCCAGTCCGTGCCGCATCATTCACTCTAATACCTAGGTACTTATGATTCTAGTCATCACCATTTTCAGATACATTGACAATCATATTATCCTTGTATACGTCAGTATAGTATTCAGATAAGCTCTGGGAACTTGTACGTGCTTTCATATGGCAACGCTTAGCGCGATCTATTCTTCCAAGGTTGTTATCGGTGCCAGGGTCTTGTTCTGCGAATTACATCCGATTGACCAAGGCCACCAGGAGCGATAACAGTTTGATAGACTTCATCAAGATGGATCATTCTGAAACACCGGAATCGACAATAGATTTGAGCACGACAGATTTGTCACTTCGATCGTTGTGGTCCGAGAAAGAGAGACTTTTAGCAAGGCTCCATCAGCTCGCAGACGAGATGTCCAAGGAACGGGCCGCACAGCTTGAAGATCCCCAAGCCGAAAGGGCCGAGTCTGGAGATGAAATTGTAGTGACAACGTCAGTCGGTGAAGGTCATGTTGACGTTTGTCCGGCTGCTGGACGGCGGTCGGACTTCACCATGAGCTGGGATGCGTGGGCGGTGTGCGTTCGATCGGGCTGTCCAGCATGTATCCTACGCCGCAAGATCGTACTGGACTCTGGGTACACAATGTCTCAAGACTCTCAGGACTTGCCCGCCCTCGTTCTTTATGATCACGACCTTCTATTCGACAGCTTTGAGTTTGATAAGAAGCTTTTCGAATGGGTCGTCGAAAAAAGCGACCTGGTCGAGGAGTGTGAGATATATGACAGACAAGTGAAGTTCGGTGGCACGGGGACTTACGGGCCAGATGTTGGGCGAATGCTACAACCATGTGATCCGAGTTTCGGGGCGAATCTACCCATGGCATTAGACTGGATCAACAAATGCGACAATGAGCATCCTTGCATAGCCGATAAGCTCCCACCTTTACCGAAGAGGCTACTGGATCTCCGCGATGGAAGAGTACGGCTTGCTCGAACAGAGGGGAAGCGTGGGCACTACGCTTGTCTCAGTCACCGATGGGGCTCGACCCTGATGTTACAGACAAACGCGGTAACAATGAAGAAGTTTGAACAGGATATTCCGTGGCTAACCATACCACAAACATTCCAAGACGCGATTAAATTTACACGTGGGCTTGGACTCGATTACCTATGGATCGATTGCGTGTGTATAGTCCAAGACGATGCAGTGGACTGGCAGGAGCAATCCGGCGCGATGGCTGAGATCTACAGCAACTCCTATATTACCTTGGCGGCAGCTGTGGCTGAGGACTCTAACTCGAGATGCCTGTCTCACGGCGATCGGAGGTCTAATTTTGAGAAAATGCCCGTGGAACTTACGGTAAATGGGGTCGAAATTCCTGTATTTGGCAGACAAGCTTTAGAGCACGGTTCTTTCCCGTTGCTAAAGCGCGGCTGGGTTCATCAGGAACGCCTTCTTGCGCCTCGCATCATCTACTTTGCCAGCGAGGAGCTGCTTTGGGAGTGCCTCGAGAAAGAAGATTGCGAATGTCAAGGCCATCATGGTTGGCAGCCCCGAGCTAAGATACCTAGAGAGTCTGCAGCCGATGGGCCCAACGATGACTCTAGCGATGAGACCAGCGACAGTTCCAGCGACGGCTCCAGCGATCCCTTCTCTGACATGATGGATCCCAAAGATCCCCACGAGATGTGGCGTGTTATCGTGGCCGACTACTCCACACTGGACCTTACCTTCCCAAAGGACTGCTTACCAGCCTTGTCTGGAATCGCTCAAGTTTTCGGCAGAGTGATGGACGACGACTATGTAGCCGGCCTGTGGAAGAAATTCCTCATATCGGATCTGCTCTGGTTCAGGAGTCTAGAAGAAGCTGAAATGATCGCGGAACACTGGAGAGCGCCATCCTGGTCATGGGCGTCTACAGAGTCGGTAGATGAGGTTCAATTTCATGATGTCGAGCGGCCGCTTGCAGAACTTATCGAAGCGGTTGTCGAACCAGCAGGCAGGGACCCTTACGGGGAGCTGACCTCTGCATATATCCGGATCAAAGCGAAGGGGATTTGCGCAAACATCCAGCGTGATCTGACGTCGCCGACAGGATATACTGTAACTTTCCGTTCGGGTGACGACGCCCCCCTTCGCTTGAATCATTATGTCTGTCCACTATTCAGCTTACGAACAACCAAGATCAAAGCGGAGGCTCTACAGCAAGTTATCATTGTCCCAATTGGGAAGAAGATCACATCCTATGGAGTAGCGATGCATTCAATACCTGAACATGGACTCAAGATTGGATTCACATATCCAGATGAGGCGCTATCATGTCTCCTAATTTCCAAGGACAAGACAGGTGAAGAGCGATGGCAGCGGATTGGGCTACTGCACCTTGGAAAATTTCCATTCCGGAACAAGGAGGATTGTCCCGCTACTGAGGTATACATGCCGCGCGTGTATTTAAAGCTGAAGAGGCAGCATGGCATGTCAGACAAAGAGATTCAGTCGAGATACGAAGAAGGGTTTGAAGCTCAAGAGGCCATTTTTCGCGCTTTCGATGAGGAGCCTATGCAGGAATATACCCTTTGGTAGCTACCCGACGTCGCAGTCGTCACCGAGTTATACCCTAGCTCTATGAACAGTATGCTTTACCAAGAAGAGCGTGACTTTGGGCCTCGCAAGACGTCCATCGTAGATCTTGGCAGGCCTTCTCCATCATGTCAATTCAGCATGATCATGCGTCGTCACCACTGCCAGTACTTTCCGGCTCGATAACTGCTCTAGCTTCAAGATCATACCTGTCACCTTCCCGCAAAAAGTAAAACCTCGCGTTAGACGGCGGTAGAGGCCTCTCCCAGCTTCCTTCTCTCGACCAAAAACCACCATCGTATACCAATGCATACGTGCTGCCGATGACTTCCATCTCGTTCTTGTTGACCACCAGCGCAGTGTCTTCGTCAATTGCTAATCCTAGCAGCTCCGGGTAGGCATTTAGGATCTCAAACATATCGAAGTGCCTGTTGCGTACGAGGACATGCTGATCGATGGCCGAGTTCTTCAAATATCCAAAGCCGACCGTATGATCGCCTGCAAACCACGTTAGTCTTTCTTCTTCTATGACATGTATCCGAGAGGCTCACCTATCATGATGGTGTTGTTCGCGGTGTCACCACGAGCAAGGAAACTGCCAATGATACTCGCGCCAGCACTGGATCCAGAGATAACACCTCCAGCATCGAGGACGTCCTGAAACGCTGCTTCGGTCTTGGTGCCAGCGTAGGCATCGACAAGTCTCCATTGCCTACCTCCACCGAAGAAGATGCCCTTCGCACTCAACAGTGGGGCAATGAATTCATCGGTATCGGCAACCGCGGGGTCGTATGTATGCAATACCGTCACGTTGTTGGCACCATACTTGCGGAACGCTACTGCGGTCGTGAAGTTCTGGTCGTATGTATCCTCGCCGCCTGCCGTGGGAACCACAACAATCGAGGCGTCGGGGCCGCCAGCAAGGGCAATGATGCGCTGGTAGATGCTCTCGCTCTGCAGATTTCCTCCAACGATTACGAGGTGGCCGTTTTCTGGACCGACATAAGTCGTGTTAGTGCCATTTGTTCCGTAGATGGGAGTCGCGATGGCCGTAACCGCAAGAGCGGCGGTATAGAAGAAGGTGGTAAGCCGCATGATGAATATGTTGATACCCGACGGAATGGATGACACTCAATGCGCAAGCCTACTAAATATACTGTACATCTTCAGTGACGGCATCTTATCACATAGTTAATGCTGGGCATCGCATCATCGTGGGTCTTGATCTAATTGGGCGGAGATCGACAGCACCTGCCTGAAAGGTATTAAAACCTCAACGGCAACCCCACTCATCCATTTCCCGGGGCATTGGCACGGAGATGCGCAGCGCAAGATTGAATAGTTTTGCACGAAGTTAGTGATTTGGTGATGGAACTTGATACGAGCTGTTGGGAGGAGTGAAAACACGCGGGGCGCTAAGCGAGGTGATGATGTCATGCGTTCGGTACCTTCAATTCCAGGATATGGTAGATTACTGCTACCATTTATTTTAACACAATCCATTGCCTATTCTAAGTGCGAAAAGATTGGCATCCGTTCACCATCCGGCGTAGCTGGGCTTACGAGGCCAAATCATGAGTGCTAAGCTGTCCCACATTTCGCCAAGCGATATACAGCCTTCTGGGTGAAGAAACTCTTCCTGGTATCGCAAGCTTTGTTTATATCTCTTCGCTTTCTTCGATATCGATTCTTGATTTGTGAACACCTGAGACTGGTCTGGTAGCATCTTGATGACATCATCCGCGTGATAGACGAGCTCCACTGGATGACCCTTGCCGTTGATGTAGACAGCCGGACAGCGCCCATGCTTTCTGTAGTCCTTGTCCTCGAAGACTTGAGACAGAACGATGAATACTTTCAGTCTCAGCTGTTTGAGTGTGAATGAGGACTGGGTGTTACTGCTGACACCGTCGCGTGATGAGCGCAACCGAACAGTTATGACCATGGACGGGCGCGATTGATACGTGGCTCGAAGCAGCTCGATTATGTTGATGCGAACATCATCCAAATTCTGATCTTCCGGCCGAACACTAATC